GGGTCTGGGAAACGCCAGACAACTTTGAGCAGCTCCCCTGCGCAGAAGAGCTTGGGTGTCAGGCGGTTGGTCAGGGACCACCAACGTCGGACGCCGTGGCTGTGCCACCGGAGCAAGTACCAACCCCGCCGAGAACGACTGAGACCGAGGCATGCGACGATCCTCTACAAGTGGGAGATCGGTTTATCCAGATTGGCAAGTTTCGCATTGCTGCCATCAATGACAAGTATCTTTCAATCTCGCATGAGGACGCGGACTCTGCCAAGTAGCCCAGTAGGTGGGGATTCCGACGTTGTAGTCTTGGGTCGCCCTGCCTCTGCTGTGGCCTCGCATGAAGTGAAACATCTGAGCACTTTCAGGACGGTCGTGTTGTGTCGCTTGTCGTCTCCGACGAGAGGGCCTACGTTCGTAGCGAGTTTGGCGACATCCCTTTGGCTAATCCTGCGGAGGTCACCAATGCCGAGCCCATTTGGCAGAGGAGCGCCATATATTAGTAAGACTAAGAAGACTAAGATTAGTAATAATACTAATAATAACAGCAAGCATTATTATAAGAATACGAATACAGCTACTTGTTCCTGTTTGCTCTCAGCTCCGTGGCCTCCGTGGGGTTTTCTCAAGCACTAGGGCTGGCCAAGCCCTTAGTTGAGGCATCTCGGGTTCGCCAAAGAAATCGCGTTTGGCTTCAAGTTCATCCAGATTGGAAAGTTCCGCCTCGGCGACTATGAAGGGTGGCACTTCTCGATATCGTGTCCTTGGCTGCATGTTGCCTTTACGGCCCGTTCTTCAAAGCGCGACTCCTGCATGTTAGCCCTGAGCAGCCCACTGCCTGAGCTGCAAAGAATCTGCTGCAAAGAAGGAAAGAATGTAAGGCTGCGTACAGCTGCGGGCCAAGCACACTTCCAGGCTGGCTACACCGAGAGGCAGGGGGCTATCTGGAAGGCGATGTTCGCGCGGGTGAATGATGAGATGTCGGTCTGCAAGGGAGACACGCACTTAGCGATCGCCAGCGTCTCCAGTGCAGAGAACTCGCTGGCGAAAACCAGCGGCTACAGTCCGGCCCAGCACGTCTTCGGCACCACTCCGAATTTGCCCGAGGACTTACTGGATGGGCCACACGCCGCTTCGCCGAACGACGAGGACATTGTGGACGAGTCACACGCCCGAGAAGTCGCGATACGAACGGCAGCGCGAGCCGCCTACTTCCATGTCCAGACCGACGAGCGGGTGAGACGGGCCCTTGGGGAGAGGGTTCTGTACTACCGAAAGACCAAAAACAACAAACGCGGAGTATGGGTTGGACCTGGGACAGTTATAGGAGACGAAGGAGCCAACCTCTGGATCACTCGAGGAGGCCGCTGCGTCCTCTGCGCCCCGGAGCACGTGAGGCTCGCCACGGCAGAGGAGCTCGGAGAAGCTTTCAGTCTACGCGCCGCCCGAGACGACTTGAACCGCTTACTCAACATCGACCAGGACGAGGAAGACCCCTTTGCCGAGGAGGACATTGATGTCGATGACGGGGGCGGTGTTGGGGAGGCCGAGTTCCACGACGAACCCATGGACGATGCGGAGGAGATGGTGCTCGATCACGAGGGAGACGATTCCGGACTTCGTGGGCAACGACGGGACTTGGAGCGTGTTCTACCGGTCGTACTCAAGAGACAGCGGCGGAAGGGACCACCGGCGGCAGCCGCCGAGAATCCCATCCACGACATCAACATGCTCAAGAAGGCGCGGACCGAAAGGTCCCGTGAAAAGCAATTAGAGAAGGAGATCCCTTGGAATCAAATTCCAGAGGAAATGCGGCCCGCATTTCGGTCCGCCGAAGCCAAACAATGGGCGGAACACGTTGACAGCGGCGCCCTGGAAGTCTTGGACCTGGACACCAGTGAGCGCATCCGTGCCACCGTACCTCCTGAGCGCATTTTGGCTTCACGGTACGCCTACCGTGATAAAGCGACGGCCTGGAAACCGAAGTCGCGACTGGTCGTAGCAGGACACCAAGATCCCGATGTGGGGGTGGAGGACATCCTTGTCGACTCGCCGACGGTGGCACGATCATCGCTGCTGGCTGTTCTACAGATATGTGCTTCCAAAAAGTGGCAGGCCAGCGCAGGCGACATCCAGGCCGCCTTCCTACAAGGAGTTGAACTACGTCGAGAACTGTGGATGGCGTTACCGAGAGGCGGAGTGGATGGCCTGCACCCCCGGCAGCTGGCCAGGATACGGAAAGGGGTATTCGGTCTCTCTGAGAGCCCGAGGATGTGGTACGACAGACTCTCGAGTGTGCTGCTTGGCGAGGTGTTCGACATTGGAGGCAAGCGATATCGTCTATCACCGAGCCCCTTGGACCCATGTGTGATGATGTTGCTTGAGAACGGAGAAGCCGGAGAACCGGCAGCCTACCTCACGATCCACGTCGACGACATCCTCGTTGTAGCGCCGGCCGCCATTAACGAGGAGCTCCGCAAGAGGATCAGCGAGCTCTTTCCGGTCGACGACTGGATCATCGACGCCTTCGAGTACACCGGCTCTTTCACGACGAGAATGGGGTCTTCATCAACCAGGCGAACTTCGTTGACGGGAGGCTCTTCAAGGTCGAGGTACCCCGGCAGCAAGCGGGCTACGAGCCGGCGACCATGGAGCAAGAGATAGACAACAGGTCCCTGATCGGGGCTCTGAGTTGGTTGGAGCTTCTCACGATTTGTGTCATTCTGGATCGAGGCTTCCATTTCGAGGCATTCCTGAATGCAGACGAGATGGGAAAGCCGTTGTTCGGCATTCGTCCCCTGTGGAGGATTGGTTCTGCCTCCTTCCGGGCATTCCCTTCGGCCACTACTATATGAACGATCCCAACAGTTTCATAACTCCCATGATAGAGATGACCCCGAAGAACCAGGTTTTGATCCCGAGATTTGCACACATGATGCTTACCGTTAATCAATGGACTCAGGCGGCCTCTTCAACGTATGATAATCCCCTCGATGATTCTGCGGGGGTCATTATGACAAAATGCGCATTCTTTAACGTGGCGTTCTTGCACCTTCCCGATGACACGTCGGCGCCCATTTATCAACAGAGGTACTGCGAGGATTTCGTCAGACGAACGCAGACAGGGGGATCCAACATCCCGTTGTTGCCGTCTGGTTCCCCCGCTAGACTTGTCATCGTGGTCATTGAATTGCACGCGTTGGCCAAGTTTGCGAACCCTCCGCGTTACCACGCGAAGGGTTTCGTCATGATCAAGGATCACATCCCGATTCCTCTTGTCAGGGTTGCCTTTATGTCGGACACCGGTTGTTGGATCTACAATTCCCCATGGCGTTTCAAGAGGGTGTACGATACTGGCCGTGAAGAAGAAAGGAACGATCGGAATGTCAGGAGATGCAGGCTCACTACCTGCCTCTTTTGCGGAGCGATTTCGATCCTCGGACAGCACATATGTGGAGCGTGCTCGAGGCCGATCCATTATCCTGACGGTGTCTTTCACATGTCGGATCCCGATTCCTGCTACACCAAGCCTGCCCCAAGATTCCTCCAAGACGAGCCTGGTGAGTGGGAAATCATGGACAGGATCTGGCTTCTCCTGTTCAGAAACATGGTTTGTTCCGATCCCGGAATCCTCGCTCATGATCTGTCCCCGGACAAGAGGCAGCGTTTTTAGGAGAAGCCTGTTGAGTGCGATTCCCGGGGCGATCAGACTCGATTGCGGCATTGGGCGGATGATTGCTCGCCTGACTGGTCCCGATTCCAACATGTCCGTGGGTGAGTTTTGGGATGCTTCTCCCGAACTCAAGCTATACTTTGCGATGGTTTTTGTCGGGGTGATGGATCGTCCCCTCAGCTATCACGTTTACTTTTCCGTTCATTGCAGGGCGGCCTACATGAATGCCGTCCAGAACGGGCTCTGCTGCACCACCGCTGATCCCGATGATCCCAATCGTAGGCTGCCAGTGCATGCGTCTGGTGCATTGGTACCGGGCTCTGTATACTGAGTACAATAGGTTCCGGCAGCGTGCCCGATTGAACGATGTCCATGGAACGATTGATCACTTCAGGAGGCTCATCGCAGCACGTATGAAGTCGTCTGGGTCCCGCACCATGACGGTCAGAATGCCCGTGAGACCTCAGACCGTGATGGATTGGTTGGCGGACTTTCGAGTTCTTTCCCGTTCGAAGGGGCATCATTGCCAATGAGGACCCTGCTGTGGCTTGTTCCATTCCCGACTTTCCCGATACTTCTCACGAGGATCCTTTCAATCCGATCCCGGGCACAAATGAGCCTGATGATGTCACGGTTGTAGATGATCTGCCGATCCAAGATGCAATGGTGGGACTTCAGGATGAGATCTGTCAGCTCGATCAATTTGGGTCGGCAGACGTTGAGACAGCTGCGAAGCCCTCTCCCGTTGCTCCCGTTCCCGTTCTCCCGAGGTCGCAAAAGCTGCTCCGGTCGTTCCTCCTCCAGCTGCACCAGCGCCTGCCGCTGCGCCTGCAGCAGCGTCCGCGCCTGCTGCGGTTGCCCCCCCACCTGCAGAATCTCCCGTTAAAACCTCGTTCAAGGAGCTTCGTAGAGCTCAGGAGCGGAATGAGGGTGTGTTTCAGGGTAAGGCTCCGCCGCCCGTGGTGGCTCCGGCTCCGCCGCCTCCCGCGACGGCAGCGCCCAAGGCTGATGCTGCTCCCCGGCATGCGAAGCTCGAAAGCCGAGGACGATGATGATGACGCTCCCGATCTCCCTGCATCTTCCGGGGTGACGAGGCCGACTTCCGATGCGTCACTGTGTGCTCCCGATGGTTCGATGAGGATTGACCCCAACAGACTCACGCCGGAGCAGGCCTCGTTTATCACTCAGCTTGCGGCCGACATCAGCCACAAGCGCAAGGCTTCTAGACCGCCTGGTACCCGCCACTCTAACAAGATGGCTCGTACCGATGTTTCCGGTCTCAAGCCTGGTCCCGTTCGTCCTCCTACTCCTCCTCCTCGTCCCGATGATTCGCATCCTCCTCCGCCGCCTCCTCCTCCCGATGCTCGTGGATGGCTGTCCTCTGACGATACAATATCACTAGATAGTGTACGTCGTGACATGGAACAGAGGGATCGGGATCGTCGGGGCGAAGGCGGCCGCTATGATCGGCACACTCGTCGTGACAATCGACGTGATCGCAGAGACGAGTGTGACCGTCGTGACGGTGACACTCGTCGCGATGACGACCGCTCTCGCCGTGACAACTGGCGCGATGGTGGCGGGAAAGGCCGCGGTGGTGGCGGTGGTCCTTCCCGATTTGGTCCGTCGCCGCCCATCATGTGAATCGCTCCGCGCTGATCCATTTTGGATGAGACGGTTTGGTTCACATGGGCATTTCGCCATGGCCACTGAATCCCATTCGTTCATGGCCGTCGCCCTTGCCGCATGTCCCGGTTCTTCCCGATACATCTTCTTTTGCACATGTCCCGGTTTCTTTCCCGATTGCGGCACTTCGTCCCGATCCGTAGGTCTCACCTGGAGTTTTGGACATCTCCCGATTGAGGTCTCCCGGATTTGTTCGCTCGTGCCTTCCCGACCCTAATTCAGTATGCATGTTGTTCCCGACTGCGTCTCATGTGATCGCCAGTGCAGCTTACTCCGCTCCTACCTCGCGTCGATGGGGGTGTGAAACGAACGCTGCATAACAGGCTAGATCTGGGGACATGTGTGCAGTCTTGTCACCTTTGCCTGCACCGCAGCACCACCTAAGGCTCTAGTAGCTTCAGACCTTTGCCCGGTAGCTAGGGAGTTCTACCGATTGTATTGGTCTGCCGTGCACGGAACTCTATCTGTCCGGCTCAGTGTTCCAGGAAAAGGATCTCTTGCTCTGCTGAGTTGTGTCCCGGTGTAAGCTTGGTTGTGATACAGGGTTTGCCTGGATCCACTCGCTTTCATATAAGATAGATGTTCACTGTCATGGCTCATGTGCTGGCGTCTGCAATTGCAACAGACATCAACAGAATCAACAGACGTGGGCAACAGTTGCAACTGACAAGGGCGACCGCTCCAACTAACATGGGCGACAGTTGCCACTGACGCAGCAACAATCGCAACAGCCCCAATCCGTTGCAACAGCCCCAGCAATCCCGTTGCAAATGCCCTAGACGTCCAGCGCAACAGCCCCAGAAATCCGCTGCAATTGCCCCAGACTTCCGAAGCAACAGCCTAACAAGCCGTAGCAACTGCCTCATTTTTCCACATCAACTGCACAAGACATCCCTTGCAAGGTAAGGTCGTTTCACCACAGTCTCAATAGTTCGACAATTCCCTTTGAACAAGGTTGGCTTGTAATTTCGCACTGCTTCCAATATGCTGGTCACGATCAGCAACATGCTTTCCGCTGCAGATTCACTCACCTATCGAGATTCGTTTGATGCATGTGTTGTTTCAGTCCGATGTCACAAGTCAGCAGCGTCATTGTGTTTGTGCATTGAGTTTTAGACGTGGCAAGCCTGCAGCATCGTGTTGCCATGAAGCACAACCGTGCACAGAAGCAGCGGCCGCGCAGGCTTTCAGCAGTGCTTTTGTTGTTGCTCCTTGCATGCTGGACTCCAGCAGGATTTGTGAGGTATGTCATTCCAGATCGTCGTGATGCTGTCCAACTGGCTGCAGGCGACACTAGATGGTGGTGTGAACCTGGTGGTATCAATCGCAAGCTGCGCGTGTGTTTCGAAGAGAGCATGCAAACAGATGCCGTGCCCCTGTTGAAGGATTATGCAACGTATGAGACCACCTTGCCAGTGCGCGAACTTCGACAGGGCAAACCTCTTGCGTTGTACCAGCTGCCTTTTTACGTCGCAGCTGTTGATTTGGACGCTTTTGCCAAGCAGATGAGCTGTGAGTTGGCGCAGCGTTCGACGGTAGATTACATCGCTGCCTCCTCCCATTCAGGCAAGTCGGCCTCCGTGTTGGTGGGCTTTCTTAGATCCAGAGAAGGCATTCTTGGTGACAAAGCATTGGAATTCACCCATTACTTGTATATGCCCTTTTCAAACAATGCTGGAAACTTCCATAGCAATTATGTGGATGATGAGGAGCTGTTGGTGAGTGCATGTGGCAAAAGCCCGAAGAAACGAGAAGCCTTGGGCGCGTGCTACATGCGGGATTGCTTGAGGGCACAAGTTTCTGAAGGGGAATACATTGATGTTTGGAATCCACCAGACACCATTCCAATCTTCAAGGCAACAGCGAAAGTTCTGCAAGAGGATGTCTCCACCTTCATGCAGCGCAGTCCGAAAGGTGTGCTTTTGGTGCATGTGGATGAGCACAGGTCTATGTGTCCAGATCCAGATTTTCGCCGAGGTGCATTGAGAGTGCTTGCAGAGCTCCCCAGGGTCCAGGTCTTGGCGACCTACACTGACATCCCACCATTGCCAGGTCAAAAGTCTTCAGAAACCTGCCGGAGACCAATCGCATGTTTGCTGCCCGATGTCAAAACAATCATGGATGAGCGCTTGCAGATGTGTTTTCTGGATTTGATGGATGAGGCAGTTCTGCTTCGTGTTGCGACTTTACGAGTGACCATTGGGCTTGCTCTCCAGAAACTCTTGCTTGCCGGCTTGCACTTTAATGACAGTGAGGTTGACGAGCTGTTGAACAAGCTCAACGAGATTTTGGCGAATGAGGGTGAAGCCGTCAAGAGGCTTGAGAATTGCATCGAAGAATGCAATCAAAAGTGGATGATTGACGCAGCAGAGGAATCGGAGCACTTGATAGATTTGCTTTGCGGCATCAAGGAACAGTCGAAGAAAGTACGAGAGCAGCGCTTTCCGCAGGTGGTTGCATTGCAAGGAATACTGACTGCTCCACTAGAGGTGCTTATGCGTGATAGTGACCCGAATGACCCTGCCAACAAGTTGCATCGTCGTTGTCAAAGTCGTTTCAAAAGTGTGCTGAGGGTGAACCCCAAGGCAGCAGTGACTGCAGGGAAGGTTTTGGAACACGCTTACTTATGGGTGCTTGCCTGCAAGTCCTACAAGCTCGAGGAAGTCACGTTTGGCGAGGAGGTGGTCGATTTCCAATGCAAAAGCGTCAAGCCAGGCTATATTTTTGGCAACAGCAACAGTCTAGACTCTGCCAAAGTTGCAGGGATGAAGCAAGCTACGCTTTATTATGCAGAAGGCAACCACCCATGCGCGGACATTTTCTTCAAGGATGACACAGGTGCCCTGTATTTGGTTGATGTCGGGGGCACTAGCGACATGATGAAGGCACGGAAAAAAGTTCAGAAGATGAATGACATCGTTTGCCACGAGCGTCTACGTGATGACCTGGGAGAATTGATGGGTGTGGTGTTGCTGCCAAACATCATGAACATCTCCTTGGAAGAAGCTGAACAAACCATCTCCGAGACAATCATGGTCACGGGCGCAGAAGCCCGGAATTTGCTTGGCGGGCTTGTCCAACTGCTTGCCTGGCTGTCCCCTGTTTGAAGCCCAAACCGGCCGACAGTACGCAGGAGCCAGCGAGAAAAAAAACAGCGCGTGTGACAGTTCAATGCGTATATAGCCACACCCAGCACACACACTTGTCATAGTTTCAGAACTTCCGACTTCAAATATGTACGAAACCAACCTTCAACACAATAGTATTTTTGCCTTAGTTTTTGTTCAATCCTTCCAATAGTAAACTTGTTTGCCGACCACGAACTGGTTCTCTCTTTCTCACTGATCCCCTTCTCACGATAAATCTTGACCTCATCGCCAATCCTGACAGGGAGATATTTGCGGGCTCTCCTCCTATTCATCTCAAGCTTCATCTTGACATCAAAACGGTTCTCCTTCTTGTGGGCATTGTTTGGTGTCATGTCATGTGTAGGATCTCGGGGATGTAATCAACCCAGTGTATATTGACCTTTCCCTTTTCTTATCTGCATCAGCTCTTTTAAGCAACATACCTTGGAATGTCCGAATGAAACGCTCGGCGAAATGGGGGGTGCCCTTTTGTTTTGTAATTTTGTTTTCCTTCGTCTTTGGCTCATGAAGATCCAGAGTATTGAGACTCCCCTCGCCAGAATAAATAAGCTTGGGTTTCTATTCCATTTTATTAGTTTAGTGCCTCCATGATCCCAGTCGTGACGTCCGTAGGTTGCTTGGATGCAATGGGGACGACCACGGCTTCGCGGGAAATTAAATTAATAAGCAATAAGCCTGTTTTGATTTTTTTCGAGTTTCTAAATTATTTTTGGAAATCAAAAACAAATCAAATTGGAATTCAAAATCGGCATTCGGTGCAATGAATGAATTGTATTTAGATAGTTGTTATATTTTTTCACGTTCTTTGGAAACTACTCTTTAACATCTTGTATTATTATTGTTGTATTTTTCATTTTGGTATAAAAAGGTGGTGGCAATGCTACCGAACCTAGCCCGATCATTATATATATATATATATATGATAGAGAGCCCTTTAGGGTCTGTGAAGAACCTGCTAG